TCAGTGATGCTCATATTTTATTAATTCTCAAGCCTCTAGAACCCTATAAATAGAGCAGATGTTGCCTACCGGCATGACCGGTACCTCGTCGATCAGGTGTGGCGGACCAAACCCTTGTTGTGCGGGGTGAAACCTATCGTACATGTACATGTAATGCAGCGGTACCCTTTCCAGGAGGTGTGCAGTATATGTAATTCCGAGAACCCATTCTTATGGTGGAGTGCAGTAATCATATGAATGCCCAGCTACCGGTCATTTACGGTAGCTTGGACCGATGCAATTGCGTTGCAAACCAGCTGGGGTGCTAGTGAAAGTTGTAGCATTGTAGCGGCCCATCACCGCTACGCACGAACTATTTGCCAGGTGAGACACTATCGTGTTCCTCACTGCTCTGGTCCTGCTAACTAGCCCTGGTCCTGCTAATTAGCCCTGGTCCTGCTAACTAGCCCTGGTCCTGCTAACTAGCCCTGGTCCTGCTAACTAGCCCTGGTCCTGCTAATTAGCCCTGGTCCTGCTAACTAGCCCTGGTCCTGCTAACTAGCCCTGGTCCTGCTAACTAGCCCTGGTCCTGCTAACTAGCCCTGGTCCTGCTAACTAGCCCCGGTCCTCTCCGTCTCTGCACCGAGCCAATGGTGCACAGTGCGACGATTCAGTTATTGCACTCATCACATTCCAGTACGTCTGATTGACAGTGCGGTCAGTACAACATACGGCTGGCCCCGTCCATCTGTTGCTCATCACCGTGGTGGCCCAGGACAGCTCTCACCATGGCCTAATGAGTCTAGTTGTGCAATGCGATATGCCCGTATCGTACCCACTCCGGGTGACTTGCATTTCCAATAGTCCCGCAGTTAGTTACATGTACATTCAACTTGGCCTTTATAACTTTGCATGTCATGTGTTGCTCCGTTACAATAAGCTACATGTACATGTACATGTACTCACACACCTCCTTCAAAACCACTTCGAACAAGTTGAAGCAGTAGAAAAAAAGTGAGAGCATTAAACCAGCTGTGCAGTTTGACTGTCACCCAAACCTTCTATCCCATCTTTAACCCTAACACTCCTCAATCCTTCACCTGTTGGAGGACTGAGGACTGTTAGGGTTAATTAATAAAGTTTTGACCCCGAATATCAAAGCCTATAGGAATGATGGTAAAAGTCCATGCTATAATGTGCTTAATATTTAGGGAAGGCAATAGGAGATTCACACGTCCGAATTTACCCCTCTGTAGTACATACATACCTGTTTCTTTCATTCCAAGTCGTTGTTATACATACATGTATACTGGTACATGTATGTTTGACACCAGTTTTACAGAATTTTGATGCCAAAAAGTCAACTTAAATGTCATTGTGTTTGGAATGAAACTGTTCCATTATAGACTACAGAGTGAATTGTACACAGTGACTGTAGTAACTACTACCGATAGCTGACGAGGATGTGATAGTGGTTGTACATACATGTATTAATTCTGGCCTGTCTGTCTACCAGAATCCAAATATGTCTGTGATAATTTGTTCATTTGAACAGTTTTATACCGGTACAAAGAATGCATTCGTGTGTATTGTTTTAATGGTGGCATTTTCCATTCAATTTCTGTGGATTCCGCTAGAGTTAAAACTTGATAGGGTCAGGATAAATAGTATGTTTGTAGTTTGAATTGTACACCTACATGTACATGTAAATAAATCCCTGTCATCTGATTAGTGGGTCATCGATCACATGTCGTCGACTTATTTACATGTAGCTTTGTTCATTGGACATCATTGAATACACTACACGTATGCAGAAGGTACCAGTCACAGTCTTTATACATGCACATGTACCTGGTATATAAAAAGACCCATTACTGAGCACACTTGTGCATACATGTACATGTACAAGTACATGTAGGAAAGGTGCAGTTGTGGCTGTTGATACAAACACAAAAAATTTTGGTCGCTGCTTGCAACATTAAAACTTCCTGTCGCAATTATACCCCCCCGTAAGTAGAAGGGTGACCTGTACACAAAGGGGATATACATTGTATTCAGGACAAATCTCTAACAATCTGTGTCATGGAAAGTATCATTTCACTCCATAACAGATAGAGTGTTGCATTTTATTAGGCACCTCATGAAATTATTCTTACATCGCACTCATACACATTCATGCATTGTACTTGTATCCTACAGTAAATGATCTTTGTTCACTCCATTTCTGTGTGTTCTTTGGGTGACTTGAACTCGAGTAACATTGCACCTTTGATTCACCCAGTGGTTTTTGAAAAACACATCTATGAAATTTGGACTTAATGAGGCCTTGGCACTGGGTAATTTCTAGTTATCAGTGCTGCTATGTACATGTATTGCTTTGGCTTTTCAGTTTTGAATGCAAGCATTATTACTCTATAATAAAACTTCACCTTGACTTCAGGGGTTACATGTAGGTCATAGGCACTGTGTTTAACTGTTTACTTATTTCAGAAGAGGTACAGTACTGCCTTGGTGTTCTGCACTTTGCTGTTTATCAAAAGGGTCAGAACCAGGGCTTTCTGACTGTGTTTGTTATAGATTGTAATCCAGAAGCCTTGAACTAAACTTATTTATGAAGTATGGCATACATGTACATGTACATGTATGTTACATGCTGTGTCAGTCTTAGTGTGGCCTCCAAACAGAATTTGATCCAAACTCATGAAAATCAAAATCAAAATCAAAATCTGAATAATATTCAATTAAAGTCTGAAAAATGAGAAGCCTCTTGGCACTGTTTTGAAACTGCTTTCAAAGCCACAAATAATACTTTCAAAGGGCGTACTGTACATACAATGTATTCTTATCCTGCACTTGGATTGAGGTTTCTCTCATTGATTTGGTTGGTAGATTTCTTGATAAAATGGGAATGTGATCTTGGTATTCTTGTTATCCAGTTTTCCTGTGTACTTTGTCATAAAATAAAACTCCTATGCAGTGTCAATTCAGACACTTTGGTTGAGGAGTCCTTAATTCACTTCGGTTGTGTCTGAATCAAGAGTCAGTTGGTTCAAATGTATGAATAACAAATGGCTTGCTTCAAGACTGAGTCCGAGTCCCAAACCACTTGTTTAATTCATTGATATAATATGTTGAGCAGGTGCTCTGTCCTGTATACTTACAGTTGGAACAGCCTGGTAATCACGAACTTATTGTTATATTTAAATCCATGTACATGTACATGGCATTAATGGAGATATTCCTATTGGTCTTCTTTTGTAACAGTTCCCATTAGTTTTGTACACATTTCCCAATTGAGCACATCCTCTGTTGAATCCCTGTGTCCTTGATTGTGAAAGAATGTACATGTACATGTATCCTCAATTGACAGCATAGTGATATGTGTACATGAAACTCATTCATTTTAATACATGTGGCTGTTCATCTCTATCCCCTCATCATGGTGAGTAAAAATAAGAATCAGAATTACAAGGTGTAAACTACATGTATGACCCATCTGTCTTGATTCCTTAGTGTCAAATCTGTGGCATGGTAGTTACCAACAAGTCTACTGGGTATAAAGTTGATTCTGGATCACCAAACCTGCAATATATAAAGAACCGTAAGATGGACTCTGATATTTGGTTTCAAAAAGCCTTAAAAAACCTCAGGAATACGGACATTTTTCTACAATTTTGATGTTAAAACTGTTCTTGAAAACGAAGTGAATAAGCTCTGTGATGAAAAACAGAGAGCTGCAAAAACCGATGAACTTCCTGTGTCTGAATGTGAGCTGTTAGGCTGATGGCTTTACCAGGCAGTTACTGGTTACTGTGGCCAGGTACCCGGAATAGATAGCCGAGAGTTAGACCTATTTCCTCATTTGTAGTCAAGGTTAAAGCAGAAATGTAAAAATTAAATTCATGTTGTTTATTATCACTTGCCTGACACTACAAACTGATCTTTTGTAGGTAAAATTGACAGATGGGACGATAATTTGATTCAAAGAAAGATGCTACATGAAGTAATAATAAGAAGACAATAAAGAAATGTTCAGTTTTAGAGTTAGGGAGGAAAACACAGGATGAATATTTCAGGGAAAACTCACAGAGTCAGGCAGGAACTGAAAACCTAATTCACATTCTGATCTACGTTGGATTCAAACCTGGGTCTCAGAGATGGAAGGAGAGGAAAGAGCCACTACACCAACCTGACTCTCCATCTTCTTGGTCATGGTCTTGATCCTTCTGATCTCCTACCCTGTTGAATATCTCTCAAAGCTTAACCCTTGCCTTGCACCATCCTATAAAGCAACTTTGCCCGAATGTCATTTGGTACATTTAATGTGAGTGCACAGTGGTAATGTGGTTCTGGTAATGACACCAGGGATTCCTCAAAAGCACCCTGGGCACTGTAGCTCGTGAACCTGAAGAAACCTGTAGAGAGGAGACAGTGAGAAGTAACAGTTTTATCAGTGGGAGGAAAACCCCAGAGGAATATTCTAGGTGAAACCCATGGAATCAGATACATGTAGGGATTGAAAACCCAATCCACATGTGGACCGCACCAGGATTTGAACCCGAACCCCCAGAGGTGGAAGGTGAGGAAAGGACCACTGTGCCAACCTGACCCCCCACATCATGCATACAAAAGACACTGATAATATAAGGTTGGATGCAGTAAGTAGGTGATGGCTTTTTCACTCCCGTAAGCTGTTTGTGTGGGAACATGCCTGAGGCGTTCAGACAGCTGACAGTGCACACACACCCAAGTGTGTATTTGCCTGCAACTGGGGAACCCCATTTTCCTCTTTTGTTTGTACTTTAACTTTTTAGAAGACCACCCATATGTTTTGTACACTGTTGTCAATCGGGGAACTTCTGACTTGTTCAGGGTTCCCAATTGAATGCAGAAACAAACTCACAATACCATACTTCATTTGTGGGGAGAAATTGTAAGAGAGCACCTGCGGCACTTGTGTACATATATGCACACAGAATGGGTTAATGATTTTTCTTTCTTTTCTTCTCACTTCTGTGCAGTGATTCAGCTAGTGGAGCTCGCTGCCAAGACGGTGGCCCTCAACTTCCCCTTTGAGGTGGTGGAGCACATGTACCCACCTGTCCCAGAGAATTTACAGCTGCGCATTGCGTTCTGGAGCTTCCCTGAGAATGAGGAAGATATAAGGTAGGCAAAAGGATAACCCAGTCATTACCACCATGTGAGAAAGAGGCTAGCTTTGATAGACTTTTGCAGAGTAAAATTTGATTTATGGAGGACACAGGTACATGCTTGTAACATAGGCGTTGCATACAGAATTGGCCAATGACGGTAAACTATCTAAGATAAAGTGTTGCCTCTCAAGATGGAGTCCATGTACCTATCCATGTACTACCAGAACCAGCCAGTGGAATCTGGCTAAACTATCTAAGATAAAGTGTTGCCTCTCAAGATGGAGTCCATGTACCTATCCATGTACTACCAGAACCAGCCAGTGGAATCTCAGAGACTCTGAAGTGACTGCCACTTACCGGGTAGCTTGTCTGAGCCAGCTTGATACATGTATTTTGCGTTTTAAACTGGAAAACATTTGAACATTTGAAAGTTGAAGCATGAGGGATGTGCCATTGGGTTGCTGCAGCATGGAAGACACGGCAGGACCAAGAGGGGCTCATGGTACCGTAAATGTGAAGACACGGCAGGACCAAGAGGGGCTCATGGTACCGTAAATGTGAAGACATGGGCAGGACCAAGAGGGGCTCATGGTACCGTAAATGTGAAGACACGGCAGGACCAAGAGGGGCTCATGGTACCGTAAATGTGAAGACATGGGCAGGACCAAGAGGGGCTCATGGTACCGTAAATGTGAAGACATGGGCAGGACCAAGAGGGGCTCCTGGTAAATGTGTCTGTGGAGAGCTTGGTTTCAATGTAATTCATGTTCAAAGTCACGCCAAGTTATTAAAAATTGTATTCATGGTTGGTCAGTGTAAGTCTTCACATGAGTCTAACTACACGTATCTTATCTGAAAATTACTTGCCTTTTTAGCGTTTCATCACTCTCTATAAATACATGTACTTATATCTTGTCTTGTGCTTGAACGTGGTATTTGGTTAGTACTGGTAGCGTATTAGATTTTATGTCTGTTAAGCCTACTATGTTTTTGTTGTTTTAGTTCATTGTTTGTCTATCTCGTTAATGCCAGTTTATGTGCCTATATATATTCATTGATGCAGATTGTATTCCTGCTTAGCCAATGGCAGTCCGGATGAGTACCAGAAGGGAGAGCATATGGTTAAGAGTAGAGCAGTGAAAGATGCCTTACAGATTGGCTTCCATCTGAGCGGCACGGTATCACCTGTGGCCCAGGGAAGTGCTGCCCAGCAGCAGGGCACCTTCAATGTGGCCATCACCTTTGATCGCCGCCGCGTCTCATCCTGCTCTTGCACCTGCGCCTCAGCCAGCAAGTGGTGCAGCCATGTGGTGGCGCTCTGCCTATTCCGCATTGTGCACCCGGCCCAGGTCTGCCTGAGGGCACCAGTCTCAGAGTCCTTGTCGCGGCTTCACCGGGACCAGCTGCAGAAGTTCTCGCAGTATCTAATTAGCGAGTTGCCCCGGCAGGTAAAGATGGGGAACCTGCAGAAAGGTTTTTTTTGTAAAAGTGGTTAGTGAGTGTAATGGCCATTGATTAAAAAATTTCCCTTCATTTGGTATTCAGGTGTGTGAGTTGCAAAGGATTACCTGACTATTGTAACAATAACAGACGAAAATTGAGGAATATTGTTGCTTGCAAAAGACTGCTTATAGACTGCTTAAAAGACAGTTTAATTGTGCTGCTCTGAATGGCCTGATCAACCACAGATAAGTTTGTCATTGGTTAAAAATGAACTACATGTACATGTAATCAGACAAGAAATATGGACATTCATGCTCAATCAGAGATCAAGCTGAAGCCAGAGACATAGCTGAGATTTGGAATATGGCCATTAAAACTACATTTACTTTGTTCGCTACACTAAACCCAAGCTCCCAAGGTACAAATATTCCTGCAAAGAACATTTCTGCATCCTCCCCAACCCTCTTCTTTACGGAAACCCAATGGCAAAAACATGTACTTCCTCTATCTTGCACAAATCTCTCAAAAACCTCCTGGTAGATTCTGAAGACTTTGTGAGGGTTCAGAGGTTTCATGAGTTTATGTGAGCTTCTTTGTTCCCGACTTTTTACCAGATCCTACCGACAGCGCAACGTCTATTGGATGAGCTGCTCTCCTCTCAGGCGAACACCATCAACATGGTCTGTGGGGCTCCGGACCCCACGGCAGGCCCCTCGGCCTCTGAGCAGACACGATGGTTCCTGGATGATGCTGTCATGCACGAGAGCATCAAGAAGACATTGATACGATTCACAGGACCAACTCCTATTGTATTCAGGTAACCAACATTATGATTCTAGAGAATCCTCAGACTTACTGTTCGCACTTTCTGTAATTAATTGACACTTTATTATATGTGGTATTGAACAAACTGGTGATAAATATCCTTGCTGCTGCATCCAAATACTCACTCATCCCACTGTCCATACTGAGTGCTGATATTCTCATTTCTTTGGGTTCTACAACATAGTTCTTTGAATCCTCATTTGACATTTCTTTAAACAGTGGCTTAGTCAACTCTCCAACATGTTTTATGGCAAGTATGTAAACAGTGTTCATGCATTGATTATGGCAGTATAAAAAGCACACCCCACGAGGCTTTGCAGAGCCTGTACTTCCTTCACAAATTTTGGAAAGGGCACAAGGCCATCCCTGCACCCCGTTTACATTACAAAGGGGGCCCAGCTGCCTTCAGTCACAGTATTATGTCCTGACCATTTGATTATGGCATGGATAACCCATTCCTTTGAAGTGATTTTTCTTTTATCTTTACCAGTAAATACAGTGTTTAAGTCAAACCCAGTGCACAGATTTGGTAACAAAAAGCATATTTGACCAAGATGCCGCAAATTGATAGCTTTCTTCTCGTGGTTCTCCTTTCTCTCAGTGATGTCACCTCCTTATACCTGTCCTCGAGTGCCCCGCAAGCAGCGGCTGAGTGGACCAACCTCCTGAGACCTCTGAGAGGTCGGGAGCCTGAAGGCATCTGGAATCTGCTGTCCATTGTCCAGGAGATGTGCCGGAGGAGGGACAACAATGCCATCACTCTCCTCAAGATACTGACTGAGGAGTGCATCATCTGTGATCAGGTATCATTCTGCTGGCATCTCTAATTTGGGCTTGTCCTTCGGGCCTTACAAAAGTCTTACATGCTGATCAGACAAGATCCTAGATTATAAACAAGTTTAATAATGAAGGTTGACCTCTACAAATGCATCATTGCTTCTGGGTCTTGAAATTATCAGTGTAAGTTCATTCCATCTGTAAGCTTGTGAAAGAAATATCCTTAACAGATGAGTGACGCAAAATTTCTTCGACAATCGGCTGCTTCCTTACTTGTTGATCAGATTGGTGCTGCTCGTTTTTCAGGATTTGTTATACTTCAGTTAGATTTGAATTTTGTGCCAATTCTTGATTGCCATTGATCCTTATCTTCTTGTGATTTAGATTGTAGTGTGGTGGTTCAGTACCAGGACATCTGCCCTCCACTCTCATCACGGAAATCATGGTCATCGTGCCAACAGTAACAGCACCACCGCCATTGCACAGCATGCCTGTGCCAGCATGTGTGATGAGATCGTGTCACTGTGGCGTTTGGTGGCTCTCAATCCAGCCATCACACCCACAGACAGAGGGGAACTTGAGAGGGAATTGCGCAATTGGCACCTTCAAGTCATTGAGAAAGTACGCAAGGGCCGCGGGCCCAACTTTGCCAACACGGTGGGCAACGTAACAAATGTACGACGGGTGGACATTGAGAGTTTCTTGGGATTCAAGCCGGCCATCGAGGCCTGCCTCATGGACTGGCAGGATTACTTCATTGAAGGGGTGACTTACAGTGAGCCACGGAAAGACAGGGTTGAAGCCATGAAATCACCCTCTTGTAAAAGGACTACTCATTCCACCCAACAGATTAAACCACCCCAGCTCAATCCTCCAATAAGGACGGAGGAACCAGACTCTACCACTGTGACCGAGGGAGATCCTAAACTGAGGGACATTCCAAAGGGCTGTAGCAATGAGCTCCACCGTTTGAGCTCCTCTGAATCCAGCTCAAGTAGTAGTAGCTCTGGTGTGGACGACCAACGTGTGCTAAGCTCCAGTCGATCAGAGGACACAGACTCTGACTTTCAGGGTAATGAATGCACCTGCCCCACCGAAGAAGGTGCTGAGGATGGGACTACCCCATTAAGAACCAGCCAATCAGGCACAGGGCGAACACCTGCTGCCGGTGTTGATGGGAATAACACCAAAGCTGGGGGGAAACGCAAGGCAAAATTAAAACACTTACAGCGCAGCGAGTCATTGGACTCGGCTGACGTGTGTCTGGATGCTCCGCCTAAAAGCCTGCAGCCAGATTCAGACTCCTCATTGGATGTTGGGAATCAGAGCAACCAGGGGGTCAAAGGTGAAGAGAATGAACGTCCTCATTCAGGAGATGAGTACCAGGTGTACTTCTATGACACCAAGGCCAAAGTGACGGAGCAAGCACCAAAGAAAAAGAGTGACACGCCCAATCCTTTTGCTGGAATCAAGAAGACAGAGGACAAAATTGAGGTAAGGAGAAATGCCACATGACACAAACCAGCATTGTAAAATGAATCATTACTACCACTTACTTAGACTTAAAACCAAGTTGTCGTGTGGGCCACGATAGTCGTAGTTTTCTTCCCTTGGCTGATCTACCCACTGCACTCCAGCATTCACAGCTAGTCAACTGACTGGTCTCCACACAACAACTTGAGAAACCCGTATGGAGTGTGTATTCATTTGTTAACATAAAAATACCAGCCTGCGTTCCATTTTCTCTAGAGATAACAAGTGAAACAGTAGTTTTTATGGCTGTGTGTTGATTCTTATTACACAGACATTTATAAGCAGTGTGAGGGTGTAAATATTTCAAGATCAGATTAAGGCAATATTACATGTACAGTGTGCATGTATGTTTTAGTCAACAGAATTATTGTGTTTTGAATAAATAAAGTTTTAATGTTGCTAAAAATAATAGATTGAATAATTTAATCCTGAAGTACATGTAATTAAGGATACCTACTACAGAATGCCAGTGTCTGTTGGCTACTTCCGATGTATGCATTCCATATCAGGATAGGAATATTTACTGGTACACTGTAAATTGACCTGTGTTGTTCATTTAAGTCAGTGACTCATACTCAAGTCAGACTCGGAGTCAGACTTGGAGTCAGACAATGTTTTTGACTTGAGACTTGACTTGGAAAAAATATGAAAAAATTTGAATTCAAAGTACAAGAAAAACACAAGCTTCTTGGGGCACCCATTACAACTGGCGTAATCTGTTAAATGGAATGCGGACACTGCTGGGAAAGAGATCCTGCTGAGTAACTGGCACGATCTTCGCATTGTACATACATTGTATGTTATTAAATGCAAGACTGAGAATTGAGGGTGCAAGGTGGATTTAGTGCTGTGCCTATTCTGAGTACTGTCCACCGTTCAGCGCACTGTGCACATCGTGGAATAGTTCTGAGAGTAAGCGTGAAAAATTTGTTAAGTTTAAATGGCTGGAAAATGACAGCTGCCGCCAATATGTGGTACGGTGTTTAAAGGAAGCAATAATTCACATCATTCAACAAAAACGCTCGTGGAAGATATTTGTTGTGGTGTCCGTTAAACGTTCATTGTGATGGAAATATTATGTAAAGGGACAGGTCAGTAAGCCATATGTGAACACTAGAGGGCGTGGTAGGCTTGGCGATTAATTACAGCACTAATGTGGCAAGTAATTGCAGTGACAGGTAGTGACAGCCATCACAGCCCATACAGCAACTTGATTTCAAGTCTACCACATACATGTGTACATGTACATGTACTTCCCAAACTGAAACACTGTGATACCTTAATAACACTTTTTACTAGAAGCTGGTCTGTAACTCTTATCCAACCAAATTTGGACAGGTTTTCCCAAACTATGTACCTGTACATGTACCGTACATGTACCTGTGCATGTACCGTACATGTACCTGTGCATGTACCGTACATGTACCTGTGCATGTACCGTACATGTACCTGTGCATGTACCGTACATGTACCTGTGCATGTACCGTACATGTACCTGTACATGTACCGTACATGTACCTGTGCATGTACCGTACATGTACCTGTGCATGTACCGTACATGTACCTGTGCATGTACCGTACATGTACCTGTGCATGTACCGTACATGTACCTGTGCATGTACCGTACATGTACATGTACCTCTAATTGCATGTCAAAAGGCACAAACCTACATGTAAAATGAACATGTACAGTATCATGACAAAACCTGAAATTTTAAATATCATTAATTAAACAAACCTTGTGTACTAGAGTGCACAAGGCGGCCATGTTTTAGGTTAACTGTTTTATTTTGTGAACCTAAAAATAGAAATGAATGCAGTGAAATAAAGTTCATTAAATCAATTTCATTTATGATGATGCATAGTTTCAAGTTTGTGATTTAATATCTCATTTTTTAAATCAACATTTGGAAAATCTATTAAAAGTGAGGCATGAACCCAAAATAGTCTGGCACCAAACCATTTGATAGATTACATTGAATAAGAAAGGTTGAGTGAACGTGAAAAAGTGGCTTCCCTGTGAATAAGGCCTATTTTGGACCTGCCAACCTGTCGTACTCCTTCCTGAGGTCAGGCATTACCACACAATAGATTAAAAGGTATTTAAATGACCCCTCAGTTCGTTTAAAATTCTAATGTATTATGTGGTGATGCCTGACCTCAGGAAGGAATACGACAGGTTGGCAGGTATGCTATTTGATAAAGTGAACCAAGCTTGATTCATGTTGTCATCTAACCCTTGTCCTTTGACCCTTGACAGATCATGTTTTCTAGGGCGGAGGCTCTCCATGCTCATGGCTACACCAGACACGCCTGCAAGCTGGCTATTGAGCTGGCAGAGGAGATGCTAGCTAACCCACCAGAGCTCAATAACCCTCCACCCAGTAACCTGTCCAACCGGGTATGCTGAGGTTGTTGCAGGCATAAAATATAATAATGTTGGACAATGTAGGGCTAACAAGAAATGCCTTTTGTAATCAAAACATGTCTCTCGTATTTGAAGCGGATCCTGCAATCAGAGATTTACAGAGTTATTAAAAAGTACATGTACGAAAACCCCCAAATCTAATTTGCTGTTTTACACAAAATTGGTTTTCATGGCAACAGTTACAAAATGTGGACAGGGGAGTTGGACAAGATGTTGTGTTACATGTAGGTGTAAGCATTTATCTCTAACCTATCTTTATTGTGACTTTTTCAGGCACGTAAGAAGCACATCCACCAACAGAGCACACTGTCCACCATGACACTTGGCAAGTCGGCATTTCTCTGCAGTGTGCTATCAGAGCAACCAGACTGCCACCATCTGGCATTCAAGATTGGCATGTTTGGATTGGAGTTACCTCGACAACCAGCATCTACAAAGGCCTTGGAGGTACTTACTTTGTGCTGGGTTATTTTTCAGCTTGCCTGATTGGCCGTATCTTTTGGAGTTTTTGCACAAGGCAAAATTGGTTCATAACAGAGCATTGTCCTCGGTCCTGGAACCACCTGCCTTTTGACAAGCCCAGTACACCTGCAGTAATTGTATACGTCTGTTCCAATTATCATTTGTTCGTCCAGTAGTTTGTTTACTTACGTTACTTCTTTCCTATCCTCTTTTTCAAAGGTCAAACTGGCTAATCAGGAATCAGATTTGGTGGGTCTCCTGAAGCGCTTGCCCCTCACACAGAGAGAGTTGACCACCATTCGCCAGTTAGCCAAGGATCTGCATGAGGGCTCCCTTGTGCTGAGAAGTGCGGCACTGCTGGCCCTCTTCATAATTGATGCACTTTGCCTTCCTGGTATGGTCTTTAAAACACCAGCAATTTTTCCTGATATTGATGGGCCATTTCACAGAGTGTTCTCTGAGTAGACTCTATGACATTGCCATACAGAATAGAATATGAATCAAGAATTTCAGTGAGTAGAGCACTGCTATATGTAGTTCACTGGTCTTGGGTTCAGCTCGGTCGGTCACAGTTCCTTCTTTTTTTCAAACCTTGTTCAGGCCAGTCCTCCTCCCTTGGTCGTTCCCACATGCGTTCCGTCTCGGCCCGGGACCGTCTGGCCACAGACGAGAAGGTGGGCTTTGATGCTGCCGTGGCTGCCTTGGCCATCAAGAGTAATGTGTCTGAGTCAGAGCACCCACTGCTGTGTGAAGGTATCAGGCGGCAAAAAGGCGAGCTGACCACTACGCTGCTAGTTCATTACAAGGATGACCAGAGTAAACTCCGAAAGGTAAAGTAAAAAAAGCAAGCCAAACTAGAAGTTCTTTATTTAGGATTATTTAGGATTATTGTAAACTTCATAGCACACAGTGTTCTATTCTGATCTTCTTAGCAGCATCATGTACTTATTGAGTTGTGTCAGGCTAACTGTTTGCTTTCAACTTCATTATGAGGTCAACAAATTTTACATTCATCTTGAACACTAACTGCCTCCTGCATTTCGCTTGAAAACTTCCTGAATCTTCAAAAATCCTGCTCTTTGCAAGAGACCTGTGGCACATTCTAGGTGCTCTTTATACTGTACGTTGCTTTCAAGGAGCGTCAAACACCATGTTAAAAGATATGTACGTGTAAAGTAATGGTGACCAAAGCTTGACCTTCCTCAACTGTGCAAAATCTTTGTCAACCTGTCAGTGGATTTTAAGGGCTAGTGAGGAGTATGGTTCACACAGACCATTTAGTGAGGAATTTATTGCTCTTTTTCTGTTACTGAGCATTGTTTCTGCTTTCTGGGGTCTTATGTATGGGCTTACTTTGTCAGGCTCAAATCCGGTGAGCAAATATCTGCACTCAAGTGAAAAAAGGGATAAGTTTTGTTTGCGCATTATGGATCACTCAGACCAAAGGTTCAAATTGCATTTGACAGCACATTCTCATAAAGAGCAATTTTTGCTTAAAGTTCAATACCTTTTCAGTTTCGTTCAGTTTAAAAAAGCCTTTTCTGGAAAAAGATTATAAACTGGTATAATTTTACTCTTTGGATTTTAGATTCTTGATGCTTTGCTGGACAAGCAAGGACCAAAGACTCAACGATCCTCCCAGCCTTTCCCACAATCCTCTGCTTGTTCCTCTCAAGATGGTTACCGTAGCAACACATCCTCCATGATGGGTGAGGGGCAGCAGGATGCCTCTGATCAGCGGCCCTCTGAAAATCACAGTCCACAGGATGAAACCAGAGAGGGAGCGTCATCCAGTGATCCAGCCGTGTCCCACATCACCCAGGCTGTGGCATCCTGTGGCCTTCGGCCCGATGATGCCAGTACCTCCCGGCCTCAGAACACCAGCCCAGAGACCCCCAGCATTGCGAGTTGTATCCAGCACCTGAGTGCGCCCAAGTCCACATCACCAGAGTGTTCTTTTCCATCAGCTACGTCACCTCAGCAGCAACGAGGTCACATGGTGCCAACAACTTCATCTCTATCTCAGCCCCACAGGGCACCCTCGGATGTTGTGGCAACAGGTTGGAATGAGGACCCAGGATCCTGTTCAGGCATGATCTCAGTGGGTCCAGACATTGACCAGTGGAGGCAGGCCCAGGCTAGGGCTAGTGGAGGGCGGAGCAGCAGCTACTTGTACTGGGGGAGGATCTTTGGCAAAAATCAGAAGAGAAGTAAAGGTAAGCAGTGGACCGTGCCGGATCATAAGTGGATGGAGTTGGTTACCACTGAGTGCTCTACACTTGATAGGCAGTTCAGCAGTAACTGGTCAAGGCCATCTTAGGATATTCAATACAAAGGCCTCCAACTTCAGTCCATTCACTAAAGTGCATTCATGCACCTCGCTGAAGCTGGTCACTTGGGAAAATGCCATTGTATTGAATAGCTTAAGATGGCTGTGCAGTTTCTTCATTTTGCAGAGCAGAGCTGCCTATCCAGTGTATAGAGATCAGTGGTGGTTACCAGTGGAAGAGATAGTTTTGTCAAATTGATTGGATTTCCCTTTCACGTACTTTCCTTCTGTATGTTCTGTACATAATTTAGATCCTGCATAGATAATTTTCCCTTGTCTCTGTGCATCTGTAGTACAGTCTTACATGCATGACATGGGTTGAACCACTTTCGTTGAAATTGCCTCATACTTTATTTCCATGAATTTTATCTTTTGCAGTTGCTAAATTACCGGGAGAACCCTATGAATAATTCCTCCTTTCGGGCCACTGCTTGACCCTGAGGGCACTTGTCGGGGAATTTGAGCTTTAATGTTTTACCTTTTTGGGGGGCAAATTTGAGTCACCTCAAGTGGGAAGTTCTCTGATTTTATCTGATTTGGTACGCAATGGCATGGTAGTCATACTTCAAACTATGGTTAAGCTTACCGGTAGTTCCCACTGGAACATGCTCGTTATCACTGGCTCATATTTTTTAAGAAACTTAGGCAAATTGAGTATTGCTATCTGTATTATATTGCAAAGATGTTACTCACTCTTCAGGAATGGCAGCCATTGACAGCAGTGCTCCCGAGACCACATCTAGTGATAACTCCCCCACCATGGGGCGCCGTGTCCCCCCTGGGGGCTGGGGACGATACCATGGGCCAGGCAGTGACAGTGGCAGTAGTGGTAACTCCAGCGATTCCATCAGCTCCAGTAGCTCGGCTGAGAGGGGGACATCGGGTGCCAGACCAAAGATCCGAGATGTGGAGGGGTGAGTACTGTTGATGAATGTAGTTATTTTGTTGTCTCCTGTTGGATCACCAGTTATTCTCCCTGTTGGCGGGACAGACGTATCCCCATACTGTGGTGTGGGTATTAGCGCAGTGACATTCATTTATCCTGATTCATTTATCCTTATCCTTTCATTTCTTAAATCAATTATTTTTTTATGTCAACTTGTACTACGCCGTTGATAATCTTTTTGTAAACGGTGCATTATAAATTTTCAATTATTATTATTATAGTGTAAACCAAGTGGGCAACCAAGTGAGTAGTGTGCTGTATAGAGTAGTGACCGCTTTAGATTAGAGACATTTGTGATCTGTCATGAAAAATTGATAGTAAAGTCACATCTCGCTCTTTCCCATTTTGAGGTTTCAAAGTCATATTGAATTAGAGGTCAATTTTGGGGTTTTGTAATATTTGGAAAGAGTGACCCATCTCCTATTTAATTCCAAATATTTCGCAGAATCACATTTTTTAAAATGTCATTTTCATAGCAGTTTTGACAATCGCATTATTTGTGCCTGGCCTGAAATGTTGGAACAATGTCGGGAACAAAGACGCAGAGCTGCCAGAATAATGCCACATTGTCACCTTATACTTCTACCCTAAGTGTTCCATGTAAATTCCATTGGAAAGCTCTCTTTCTGCTGAATTCAAAAATACCAATATCTCAGTTTTTGAAAATTCTGACTTTCAGCTCATTTTGTGGTGACAGGTCACATTTTAGTTCCCAAAGTCTGCATGCCTGTTTTTTTCCAGAAACAAAGCATTCAGATTGTACTGTTGTTGGTACACTAGTTAGGAGGAAGATGCTAAATTATCCAGTTGATGGACAGCCACAAATGTCACTGCATTTTCAATTTTTGTTGTGCATGGAATGCTCTGGTGAGGTAAATGGAATCCAGAGTAGCCTTGAGAAATATATGCTTGGCATTACTACAAGAGTGACATGCATTGACACTGATTTGTCATACATTGATGAAAAAGCTTGATGCCTTCCTCACCATGGATACGGCCCAGTCCCTCATCATTATCTGATACTCAAGGAGCAGATTCCAGAAGCTCAACACCAAATTCCAAAGCAGTCAGGTCAGTAACTCTTACAAAGAAAAACATCAAAACCAAGTAACACATCCAGTAATTTTATCTTTGGTCCTCTGTGATTTCCCAAATCCATCAAGAAGTATTTGGGGATTAAAGAAGGTAGAGCCTAGCCAATTGATTCTTATATTTTGAGTAGTTTGCCTTTTCATTGACATATTATAAACACTGCATATATTGCCTGAAGGCTTGTGAAACTTTTGTGGGATTCAAACCCAGGACCTCTTGCTTTCTTGTGCAGACGTCTTACCAGTCAACTACCGAGCTTGCCAGGCCTGGCTGGCTGGTTCAGGTTAGATGAGCAGCAGGCACAGTACCAAACATTACAGGATGTAATCTTTTCTTACGCAGCAGTTGATGCCCCAGGAGTGCCATGATTATGGCATTGGTTTCCTTAGTGATTTGGAGGAGTCTGGAAGATTTGAAGTAGTTCAGGAAACTATGAAAACCAAACGTTCACTTTTCCATTTGGTGCAGTTGAATAAAAATTTATTACTATCTGGAACAATTCAAATTTTGGTTCTAAACCAAATGGTGGCTGGATTCCATCCGAATTCCTCAACCCCATCCAGTAAGTGGAAGCCATATTCACCACTGGGGCTTTCAATTACTAATGTTGTTGTCTCTGACGTCTCACATTATCATTCTAGTATAGTCCATGTTTCAAATGCCAGCATCATTGTCAATTGCCACCCACAGGAAGGGAGGCAAGAAAGGTGGCCGCAGCGACGTGTCGCCGTCTGTCCCCAATCAGCCAAGTGAAGCCTCGGCTCATTTCTTCTTTGAACTGGCTCGGACAGTCCTGACCAAGGCTGGTGGATCCAGCAGTACCTCTCTCTTCACCCAGCCAGCAGCCAATGCCAACCACTCTGGCCCCCACCGAGGGTTACACCTGTGTGCATTTGAGATTGGCCTGTATGCGTTGTGGTTGCATAATGCTGTTACCCCTAACTGGCTATCCAGGACCTACTCCTCACATGTATCCTGGATAACAGGTATGTAGGATTGTTAGTGAAGATTGAACTACCAGTAGTTGGAGGCATTCTAGCTGAATGAAGTTCCATCCCTATTACAGAGACATCAAGTATGAGGCCAGTGTTGAGAAGACTCATTGTTCACTCAGTTCTAACAACAAATGTTTGGAATTGAATCTGGGGTTTGATTTTTGGATTTCAGGTTGAAAATCTATATTCTGGACCTTACTGCACTTCCCCATTTGTAGTTCAAATTGAATGTAGATGGCGTAAATTTTAGAGAGTCCAATCTTACAACATATAATACTCGTAAAAGTTCAACAAAAACCATTCCCTGTGCATTGGCACAGTAGCAGGATGGCATAGTAAGTTGGTTACAAGATGGTGTTTTCTCAGAAATTTTATATCTCTGTAAATCTGAGTCTTCATGTTTTAACTACCAGATATACCAAACACTGACTTGTGCTTCGTGTTTTCAGTGCTGTGTAAAGCCATATTTTTTATATATAATTCTGCTCCAGGTCAAGCTATGGAGATCGGCAGTGCAGCCATCAGTATGCTGGTGGACACCTGGGAAGGTCACCTGACCCCCACCGAGGCTGCATCATTGGCCGACAAGGCCTCCAGGGGTTTGGATCCCAACATGGTGGGCACTGCGGCTGAGCTGGCCCTGTCCTGCCTAAGGCATGCCCATGCCTTGAACCCAACCGAGGTCAATAGGGCTCTAACCCAGGTAAGGCCATGTCTGAATCTTGACTCTAACATTAGAGCGAGGTCCAGGCCTGTGCCAGTTGCAGAGATGTGGACATGTGACCCTCTCTGTAAAAATGAAGTCAGAAGTCACCAGAGCTTATTTTGATTCTGATTTTGTACTGAAAAAGGGCAAATGGGCTCTTTGGTTTGGTACCGTCACTCAAATTGATATTCTGATGAAAGTGGACATTCTGTGGATGGAAATATTGAGGATACCTGTTGCTTTGTGGTGGGCAGGATTCTTTAAGGGGTCCTTAACTCTAAAGTGGTTGTGGTAACTTATGACTCATTTTCACAGAGGGGTTCACATGCGCTGACAATAGCCATAGCCGTAGCCCTGAAAATCCATGTCGGACATGGTCTACGTCTTCACATACATGTATGTTGAGCCCCGAGCCAAGTGCAGAAAAGAAGAACAGAAGTAGAGGAAAGATTTGTTTAACCAAGACAGATTGATGGCTAGAATGCCATGCAATATACATTGTTTGTGATTGGATCCCAGCTAGCTTTCTGCTAAAGCATATAAGTTTGCTAGTTGTCAAGAAACATTTCCACCATAGTATCTCCATAAAATTGAGGCCTAGCATATCTCCAGTGGTGTGGAGTTCTCTAGCTTCTTAATATCTGTCGTCTAAAACTAAGTGAAGATCAATACATAAAACAGTGCATAACAGTGGCAAACACACACACTGACTAAATCTATCTTGGGGTGCCTTCTGACTATAATATTGGCATGCTCTTGTCTGGAAACCATTTTTTGACTAATTCAGAATTTTAAACAAGTCAGATTTTGTGTGTGTTTGGTAGTGCAAAGAACAGGACTACCAGATGCTGGCCAATGCTTGTCTAGCTGTCGAGAGTGCGGCCAAAGGAGGCGATGTCTATCCAGACGTACTCTTCAATGTTGCCCACCAGTGGGAGTGGCTTCATGACAATATGTTGGGAGCAGCTAACAGTCGTCGAGTCCGGCCCAGTGAGGGTGCAGATGCCCACCAGGCCACCGGTAACAATGGCTCGCCGACCACAGAGAGTGGTCAGATTGTACCGTATTCAGTGGCTGTGAGTGTGGCACCCAACGCAGCCGTAGTCAGTCCCTTGTTGTTACCCTATGGAGTGGCCCGGGTGCCTCAGGCTGTGCAGGTACCGCTGGTGTATCATCCCAGCTGCCCAGAATATGTCCAAGTCGACCCATCATATCTCCCTAGGTTGCCTGGAACATTCCAAGGATACCCTACACTTCCACATGGCCGACATGGGACCCCAGACCACAGACAATTACAGCCAAACTCACACAACGTGCATTGGAATGGAGTCCACCAGTGTCCGCCCTACTATTCAACATGTCCCTACTCGTCCCCCAACCCTGTTCCCCAGGGTGTCCCTGTACCCCTTCCAAATCAGTTCTCTGCCCAGGCAGCCCCCTCTGCTGCCCAACCAGGGGTTTCCCTCCGCCCTACCCATGGTGGTTACCCGCTGCCCGTCGTGCATCCCAGGCAGTCAGCAGCAGCCCAGCTGGCCTCTCCGCAGCAGAACCCCCCTCTCCAGCAAGTGGTTGGGCCCATGGGTCCACACCAGCACACAGGACTGTTCTATTTGGATGCAGCATACAGGGTAGGCATGCTGGCCATTGACACGCTGGCAAGGAGGGTGCACGACGAGAGGACACAGGCGAGATTCTCCCCCAATCCGCCCTATGGAGAGGATATCAAATGGCTCTTGGAGATATCCAAAAGGCTAGGTAAAACAAACAATCGTGATCATTAATCCTTTATGCCAGATTAGGTCAACTGATGTAGTCTCTCTAGATGTACAGCATGTCAAGCTTATCCCTGGGTTTTACCACAGCAGCACATGTTTGACAACTGATTGTCAACAGCCACCAAAGTGTTTCGCATCCAAAATGTACTGGACTTAGGTTTGCACAAAGGTAGTCTTATTACAATACGGGATGTTAATTTACATCTTTAGAAATGATATACTGTGTTTGGACATCTGATCGACAAACACAACTGAAAATTTCTTTTTTGTTTTTGTAAGGAAAAATTTCATGAACATGTGGTCAAAGAGGTGACCCATAACGTGGCCAAATTATCCGAAGCATATTTTTTTGTGATGAAAGGGTTACTTGTATCGTCCCGTCTGGCTAAACCCCACTGCCTAAATGTATCCACTGAGTACAAATGTGGAAAGGCTAGATACTATGTTGTGTTCAAAACATTCTAAAAGATAATTATTATTCCCCTGTTTGTGGTTCTACAGGTTCAAGCTATCTACAGCAATTCTGTGCATGTGTGCTGAATGTTGTGGTGAGCCCCTTTGTTCTACACACCATCGCCTGGGAAGCTGCCCACTACCTAGCCTCTAGTAATCACACTCCCATCCAGGCCAGTCTGCGCTCACCTGTCCTGGGTCCCATCGTCCAGAAGTGTGTTCAGATGTACATCCAGTGCATCCACCAGCGTATGTACCACGTGACGCAGCCCGAGTATGATGACTTCATCGCCGTGGTACAGAGTGCTCAGAAGGCATTTGTCATGGCACCAGGTGGCATGGCGCAGTTCAACGACTTCCTGCAGTCACTGCGCAGGTTGCGACCATGCAAGCGGGAGCTGTGGACTCGGCTAGCAAGCACACTGTCACCAGGGAATGTGTTTGAACATTCATCTAGTAGTCACTGACAACCTCCCATGTCATAACTACTAAAACCACAGATTTAGCAACGATGTCAACTCTAACAAGATGAACATATCATAAGTATCTTTGGATATACAAAACTTCATGACCCAAATATTTCAAATTGTTTATGTGCTAGAAGTGAAGTGGTATGCGAACGTACATTTCAATTCAGTTTTAATTTTTAACTGAAAATGTGTCAATTTTTTGATATGTATGTCAGAGGTTATTTGTTTTCATGATTTTTTCCTGACAAATTCACTCGCAGGAAATTTAAAGTGTTATATCTGTAAACTGCAGCATCATAAGTGACTAGCTGTCCCACTTTGATATGGAGAAAGTCTTGGGGGGGCTTTGTTTGGGTATTGAGGCTGTAAATAATGATGTACTTAATTGAATGTATGATAATGATGTGTGCAAACTGTCTCCATGTCAAAATGTTAGCATTTGTAAACTAGTTAAGCATCAGTAGGAATATTCGTGTAGAGTAGGAAGACCTTGTCAGATGTAGGCTGTTTAGAAAGATTTCACATTTGGTTTGTGCCCTCGGGTGAGGGTTCCTTGGTCTCTGTTTTTTTTCTGTACATGTAATTATGTTCGTTGACAAATGTTTTTAAATTTGTTTCACTAATGACAACCAGGGAAATAGTACATGTATGGTATGCACACTGGAGAGAGTCTGAACAGTCTGAGCTTGTGCAGATCTGGATCTTATGGTCTGTGCTGGGTTGGCCCAATGTTGATCTGGCTTTTCTCTTTGCCACCGATGAGGGAGTTATTTGCACATGGGCTTAGCTTGCACCAAAGCCACTTGCAGGCAGACAGCCTGGCTACATTTTCAGCACAGAAAGCCCAGGATGGACCATTAGGCACGTAAGGTATCCACTCCAAGCAGGAATAACAGAAGATGTGTTTTATTGTGACCCATTGATGGGAACTCACCACATGCACAGTTTCATGCATATTTTGTGTGAGACGTGGCAAGCATGCACAACCAATTACTCTATATACGTACGGTCTTTGCATGTGTGCCAGGCATGTGAATGAGCCGAGTCAAAACATTTCCCGTCAAGCCTTATCCTCTTTGCCAGTGAGAGTGCAGTTCCACTCTGGGCAGATACATGTACATGTACATAATGGTACATATCAGAGGCTTTGATACATTGCTTCTGCATGCTGGAGATTGTGTATGTGTAAGATTTTGCATGAAATAGATACGTTTAACCGCAAGAACAGAGTGCGTCTTGACTACTTCACTGTATTAACACAGTGATCACATTTACGCCTCCTTGTACTAGAGGATTCTCCCCCCCAAGCAGTAACATCCCTTGGGGCTGACACACCATGTAGCATACATCTTGCTTTCAGATGTTGTCTTAACCTCTCTTCTTGCGACCAGCGAGGGGGTGCTTCTACACTGAAGTCCTTAAATCATGGTCTCAGCCTGCGATTTCAGATAATGAGCTATACTGAGTGTTTAGTGAAGCTGAGCTGTGCACTGTAGGTGCTGATTTTATGAACACTTACAAATGGTCGGAGCTTTTCAGATTGACATGGGATTGTGGTGTTCACATGAAACATGTGGATGTGATTGTAGGTGTCAGTGATGTGACAAAGAAGTAGAATTACAGCCAACTTAGAATAGGTAGTGTCATTATAGCTGACAGTATGTTTTTCTTTGAATTTTGTGATTTTTGTTTTTTGTCTTGGTGGTCACAGAGTAACCGGTCATGACCTGGTTAAAGATGGCTGTTGTAACCTGGTAAACTGTGGTACTAGGTAACTGCAATTCCTCCCACAGTGTGATACATAAAATGAAAGATACCATTCTATCAATACAAACAAAATGTGTGTGAGACTGAGTATTATTCAAAGGTGTACTCACCAACAACAAAGAGGTAAACATGAAGATATGTTTTCTTTGTAACCAGTATGCAGTGTGTGCCCTATGTTCGTATCATTCACTACCCATTCATGTTCTTAAAAGAATATATTTATCTGCTTTTGATAACTAAATGTTAAATGTTATTAAACTGGTTTTATGTTGTAAGAAAAAGCAGTTACATGTAGTTGTGGATGTTAACACAATATTGCTGAAATGGATTGGTTGTGCCATTTTTGAATCCAGCATTTTATTTTTGCTATGGCTGTGGATTGGCACAGTGGTCACCCAGTGGCAGAGGCCATAGGCGTAGCGTAAAAACCCTGCTTCGGACATGACTTAGTTCATTGGCCCTTCCATGTTTCTGGTTGGCTTTGAGTACATGAAAGCTTGTGTCCATATTGAACATGTTGGGCTGTTGCTTTTGCTTTTTTGCCATTGGCATGCTGCTGTGTCTAGCCCTAGCCATAGTCACACACACTATAAAGTCACGGCATCAGAGTTGACAAGGTCCTTCATTATCCAATGCCTGCTATATAAAAAGATTATGGCAAAGACAGCTGTGTTGCTGAAGATGACCCATTTTAGTAAGTACTTGTTGAATTTCAATGAACTGTACACATTTGAGGAATGATTTTACGTTAGAAATTACATGGTAACTTTGTAAGCATTACTGGAATTGTTAGGCTACTGTTTTTACAAATGTGAAAAATTTACTAACTGGTAAATGTTAAGACTACAGGATATGGCTTTTTACCTGTGTTGGTGTTTTACTGTTTAATGTGCAATGATCTAGACTGTTTTGTCTTACGATGTTAACATTATTTACATGACTGTTGAATCATTTTCTTCTCATTAGATCTTTCTTCCTTGGATTTAAATGGCTGTTTCTGTGTTGTGGGTGGAGCTTCCATTTGTATGTCTATCGCAAGTTATGAACAGATTAGCATAAAGACTTGAGTAGGTCGTAAAAATGCAAATTACATGAATGCAAAATATGCGTCTTGATGGCAAATATTCTAGATGAAAACTTTGCAAACATGAATATGCATCAGTGGGCGTTGCCTTTTTTCTCTCCTTCCTAGATCACTTATTAGCAAGCAATTAGTGATTCTGTAGAAAGTAGATATGCATATTACAAGAACTCGTGATTTATCCAATCAGGTATTTATTAATTTTTGAGTATTGAATATGCAGCAGTCATTTGATTTTTAACCCTTTTCCTGTACTTTATGTAGGACTGTTTTGTTGTTTTTAATCTTCAGAAGTTAATGGATTTGTGTTCTAATGACAACTGTTAAATTATCATCTAAAACCTGGAGGTATTGAAACTACAAAATTTTGATACTTCTCTCTGATTCCATACGGCCCGTCACCTTTTGTCCTATTTACAGGGAAATCATTTTTTTGCTGTTATTTAATATTGCAAAACAAAGCCAATGATGGATTTCAAAAGTTGAATTGGGACAATTTTTAATTGGTTATTTGTATAAAGTGTTCCCCCCTCATATTGTACATGTAGAGTTTGGGATCCTGACAGGGATATATAACGTTTTTTAAAGGAAGAAAAGTCTGAATGAAATCAGTGATAACTGTTTCCAATTTATATTTGGAGCCCACAGAGGAACCAAGCTCAAGTATGGTTGTTTACTAAAGACTTTGTTTGGTTTTAGTTGTTTAATTTACAGTTCTCAGGTTTTTGATATTTTTAGTGTACATAGTATTCGAATATAATGTTACTTGTATTGTTTCCTACCCTTTTTGTTCAAAATCAAATGTCTCACACAGTAAGGGAATCCAAAATGCTGAAACTGTCTTTAGGTTCATATTTATGACAAAATGACGTGACAGAAAGGGTTTGTTTTTAACATTGTTCTTTGGTTCCTGATGCATCTTTTTTTTCCCCAGATAGTCCCACTGTCACCATAATAATGCATTTGATTTTTATCATTGTTTTTCACATTGTGTTTTAAAAATCTATTATTTATCTTTGTCAGTTAGTCACGTGACTGTACAAACTGATACACTCCATTTCAAGAAAACGAATGAAGAAAAAATAAATGAAAAATGTGAGAAGTCCATTTTTGCTATATGAACAATTAGTTTTGCTGTGACTGTTCTTGCTTCGACTCATAAGTCTGGTGACTTTTTGCAGGATATAATCATGGCTGCCATGCTGTAGGCAAACAGTCAGCTATAATATCCAGCAATGAAACGGGTTAGTCCCTTATTCACAAGGGCCTTTTTAAACTGGCAAGATAAAAAAAAGAGTAAACCCAACAACCTTAACCCAACCAAACACTAGCTTTGGTCAAGGCGTTCATCAACCGTCGTAGCACAGCACGCACCAGCCACTTACTGACCTAGTACGTACCTGCGTATGTGCATGTACATATCTGCATACATTGCAAAATCAAGGCGAAGAGCGACCTCGCACAGCCTATGAAATAGTTCCTAGTTCAGCTGATTTGCACATTTCTTAGGCCGTGTGAGGTCGCTCTTCGCCTTGATTTTGCAATGTATGCAGGTACGCACATGTACATATGCAGGTAGGTACTAGGTCAGCGAGCGGCTGGTGCATGCTGCGCTGTGCTGAATGATAAACACTTTGACCAAGGCAAACCAAACACTACACACTCGAGCTTAACACAAACTGTTATTGCTAGTCTCACACTTTATTATAAAGTTGGAAAAAAGATACTGTGGATGTGACCACAATACTTATCTACAGAAAAAGTTGGCATCAAAAATGCAACAGGTTTCAAAAATTTGCAACAATCCTAAACTCGGCAAATAAAGCAAAATTTTACCATTTTTTCATTGGAAAATGCCTTCCATCAGGCCAGAATACAGCCTTGACTGAATAACTTCACTGCGGCTTCAAATTACAAATCTATGGTACTGACTGCAGCCATTTCCCATAGAGTTGTGTCTAATTTGAAGCCACAGTCATGTCATTCATACACAACCTACAGTCCAGTCCAAGGGTTCCTTTGAAAGTCTCAACAAATCTGTCAGTGATCCTTCATAATATCTCACATAATGGAGTAACTATTAAAGATTCAAAAATGTTACAAGCCATTACTTACTAACCACTCATGGAGGTTTGCTCACAAGACATACTGAATTCTTGCTGAGGTCTCTTGGTCAGTTAATGCTGTTTTTTTGTTTGCACTGGTATTTCCAATGCGTAGGTTTTGCCTTGAACATAGCAAGGGTTACAAGTTTCCTCTAAATATAAATAGCCTTCTGTGATATATGTAAAAAGAGGAAAGCACACAAGAGCAAACTGCATTGAACATAAAAATAGACAAAGGTTACATTCACTACCTGTGATGTATTTCAAAAAGAAAGAAATTTACTAAAACAACTTATGTGTAATACCAGACTAACACCAAGAAGATAGGTTCACCAAATATGACCACAAAATGCTTCAAATCTCAATATTGTTTGTGGAAACTAGTCCACTATAGAGTCATTTCACTTGGGCCATGCCTAAAACTTGGCAATTGATGGAGTTGTGGATTTTGGTGCATGCACCAGGTTAACACTGTCTGGTCTGCCTCTTCTCATTGATCCAATCCAGGAACTGGTTGACCCTGGCATAGACCCCTGGGGCATTCGGCTGGGCACAGCCCGACCCCCACGAGGTCACGCCCACAATCTGCCACACCCCTTCGTATTCGCAGACCAAGGGCCCACCACTGTCGCCGTCGCATGAGTCAATGCCACCGCTCAGGTAGCCTGCACACAGCATTTGGCTGGTCAACTTGTAGCCGTACACACGCCGACTGCTGCAGGTGGAGCGGGGAAGGAGGGGTACCCGTGCTTCTTGCAGAAGGCGTGGGTAGTCACCTCCTGGAAACAAAAGCAGGGGAGGAAAGGGGAGATGTTACGTGAAACAATGCAAGTTCAATTGTACATTACATGTATATGTCAAATGATACTGGCAAGCCACATGCCATAAACAAGGTGTGTCGGTGTTGTAACCATGTCATTCCTCTCATTAAGCCAGGACATAAGTCATTTTTTCACAAGTAACCAGTCTGTCACAAGCATACAGCTATATATAAAAACCAGAGCACTGACTCATGCACAAAGTGATGCCTACTGGGCGCATCCATGTTTGTGCACAAATCTATGGAAAACTCCAAATTTTGTATGGCTTTTGTACGGCTATTTGCATATCTGTGTCTATATTCTAAAACAATACGCCAACAAAGTTGTAAACAAAATAGTATCTAACGCTCATTTCCAAACAGTAAATGAATGTTTCATTTGCTGTGCACAAAAAAATGCACATGAATTTTGCCGTAACATTTTTTTATTCAGAGTTGATCGGTACCCAATGCGCATGACAGCCACTACGCCAGAACTTTCAACTCAACACTGATACATTGCAAAACAGGTCAGACTTGTCTGCCTCATTTTTGTTTGTCAGAGTAGACTAATATTTCCAGTGATAAAACACCAGATAAAGAAAAGAGACATGTTTCCTTTTGAATTGTTTGCATCAGTTTTTTCTCATGTTTATTTCATTGAAAAATTGGTTAGGTCAGGTCAAGTTGGCTCTGGGTCGAGTCAAGTCAAAATACAAGTTAATTTTTCTGAGTTGAATTGTGTCAAGTTGAGTCTCGAGCCAAAAAGAAGTTGTGGCTCCAGGACGAAACAGCAACATGAAACAGCACCAGAGTGAATATACAAATGGACTTTGAGGGCAATGCAACTGATATTGCCTAGGACTGCAAATCATGAATGTAAACAGCAATATCTCTCCAGCACCAGGTTCAACAGAATCACTACCAGTGTTGTAGGTCTCCAAACCTGGTCTCGGTCCCGAGACTGTCTCAAGACCTTTTTTTGCAGTCTTTGTCTCGGTCTCAGTCTCGTCCTGTCAAAGTCTCGGTCTTGGGAGGGCTGGTCTCGGTCTCGAAAGCACCGGTCTCAGTCTTGGTCTCGGTTTTGGATGCCATAGTCTCGGGTCTTCCCCTCGAGACCAGTCGAGACCATAACAAAATGCGCATCTAGCTACCACCCACGCACGCGGTTGCAAAAGGCAAAATTACCTCCGCTCAAGTCAAATCTTCAACCACTGATATAAATACAACTCAGTAATGTTAAGATTTTTGCAATAAACAATGAAATCGATGCTGGAATGAAGACTAGTCAATGCAGCATGATGCAACCTTGTCCCAAGTTGTTACTTTATTTCCAATCCAGAGTAGCCATGCTGCTTGACACCATGGAGATGAGGTTGTGAGTAGCGGAATTCGCGCACTAGACTGGTTCCTGCTCCCTACCGGGACAGGAACCAGTTTGTGTGTGTGCACGCTATGAATTGTGTGCACGTGTGAAAGTGCTTTCATTCCGTCTTGTATGTGGTACGTGTTGTTTTCGTAGTTTCGTTACAGTACATCTTTTTTTGATATTTGTTTTTCAGTATTTTGCTTACAAAAAACGGTCTAAATATATTTGTTTTAATGTTCACATCATATCATTTGGGACACTTGGGTTAAAAATGACCAGACGCGGGTAAAAAAAGAGCAGTATCACTGATAAAAGAACCGAGACATTCTTTAACAAATATTTGACCTATTTGTGTGTATGTTTAGGCTAATGTTTTCATTTTATTTCTTTTATACTTAATTGTACTGCCATATGTTTGTCCCTATTTACCTTTTGGTAAAAACTAAACATTGGTTTATGGTTGGTCTTGGTCTCGGTTTCGGATGTCGTGGCTTTGGTCTCGACCTGCAAAAGCCTCGGTCTCGAACCCTGGTCTTGGTCTTGAAGGAGTAGGTCTTGGTCTTAGTCTCGGTCTCGGACATCAAGGTCTCAGATACAACACTGATCACTACCTGTATTTCCCCAACCAGAGATCCAGCAGTTGTGATGGTCAGGTAGGTCATCTCTGCCTGTCAAGCAGACTGGTGAGACGTGGGTGTTCATCTGGGCGCCTTGGCCATTCTTGGCCTTCAACTTGATCACGGCGATGTCATTGTTGGTTGTGGAAGAGCTGTACTGCTCATGGAGGTGAAGACACTCAATATCAAAGTCCTGCTCCGAGCTCTCCGAACGGTACTGGTCGTGTTCCCCGAGGCGAACCGTGAAGCGATCTTTTCCATATCTGTAAAGAAGTGTCAGACGGAAATATGTTAATGTCAAATCTTAAACTACATATAAATAGTACATGTATACCCACTTTTCAAATACAACAATGTCTTTCTCTTTAAATGGAAAGTAACACCTTTTTAAAGTGTACATATTTCACCTTACACATCATATCAGTATTCGTCCCAGCAACACTGTCATTATATTAGGCCCTTCATGTTTGGCATCAATATGACGCCACAGAGCCTTTGTGGCAAATTTGTCCGAGTTGAGAAATGTTCAACTTTAGTACATTTTCAGTACAGATAATTGAGTGCTTGTATTGCCAAATAATGTTTCAGTACAGACTTGAACCAGCTGCGACTTTTTGTTTTTCAAGATATTAGTCAAGGAGCCCATGTACCTCTGGAAGCAGTGGGCAGCACTCAGAACATGGTACTCATCGATGAGCGTAGCACCACAGTAATGACCACTCTGCTTGAGTATGAGTTGGGCCTGCCATGGCCAACTGCCACGTTTGGCTGCCGTCCCACCAATGATGCGAGCATTGATGCCATTATCAACCTGTTTGATACCACAGCTTCCAGGAGCTGGGAGAGATGAAAGAACCACAGTGAGATGAGACAAGCAATAGCATCGTTATTTATTGCTGAACAAGACAGTTTCATTGAGTAAGTCGAGACAGATAGTGAGAAGCACCAACAGTGAGAAGCACCAACATTATACTTGATTACCTGGTCATTGTCATTGTGGAACTGAATAAACTCTAGTTCCATTTTGCAGTTCAGTATGCCAAATGAAGGCTTCTTTTCAGAAAGCGTAACGGACAAAGAGTTAAATTATTCAGACAGAAAATCAAACAAAATAACGTCCTTCATTGTCATTCATGAGATACTGTAATGATGTTTATCTCCTGATTGTTGAGTATTTCAAATGGCTATTGCAACAACCTTTTTCTGGAAAATAGTCAATGCACACAGTACCTTTTTCAATGTCTAGAATTGTTTGTGTGAATGCAAAGTGAACACTCAAGTACATATTGCAGAGGGGGGACAGGGGCTGTGCCCCCATGAATTCCTCAGTTCTAGCATTGATGGATGGGGAGGGAATGAGGTGTAGTGGGAAGGGGCGGAATAAAACATTGGTGAGGGGAGGGGAAAAACTTAGATTTCTTACCCATTGTAACCTCTGGTAAGGGAACGATGCCACATTCCACTCCGACATCTTCGCCATGAGAGCAGTCGTTGGTACCATATCGCAAGTGGCCACAGTCACCTAGGTGGTTCTCATTGCCTTGACACTGTACCTCATCCAACCAAATCTTCCCCTGGCCTGCCCCAAAATGAGCCATCTCAAAGACACGAGAGTTGCCACTGGGAAAAGAAAAGAGATCATGTGACTCTTCCATGGTTATGATCCAATCCAAAATTCAAAATGAAAAAAGTTTGCTGGTGAATTTTTGGAACGTTAGATAAGGTAAGCCCAGGGATGTACAGTCGAACATGCTTAATACCAGCTCCAAGGGACTCTCCAAAAACCTTGTCTTACGGTAAACCTCGTGTTATACGTGTTGACACTTATCCCATTCATAGAGCGCAAGCCTGGTGTCATGCACCGGCTAGCATTGTTATATACACTACGTCAATGTACATGTACTGCAGACTTATATGTACCATACGATACAGTATATCCAGTGGATTAGTATTCGATGTACAGCCTTGAACTTGTTAATAAATTTTCAAATCATATTAATAAATATGATTTGAATGAATAAAACAATGATTTCCAATACGCCTACTTGTTTGACGCAAACAGCAGAGAACAGAGCTTGTATGCGGCCGGCCGCCCTGCGCCACGCGCACGGCCCGGCAAAGCACTCCTTGGAAACTGGTACCTGACGTTGCACGTGAGTAATCAACTTGAGAACCAATTCTGAGGACCGGACGTAACAGGGGGTTGAAATTGGGGAATTTCTGTTGGTTTGTAATTTCCAGGAGGGATCCGTTTTCAAGTCAGGTTTACCCATAATTGTTCATGTTCGGCTCAAAAAAACCACCTCTTTTGAACCAGACCCGCTGTGATCAAAACTCCTTTGATGCCGCGACATGGCAACACCTATTGTCGTCTAGAATAAAGCCCCCTCTAGCGACACAAGGAACAGAGTTGCCAAGTCATTGTTGGCAAAACCGCCAAGCAGATTAGCATTTTTGGAGACCTACTGACGCGCTCCATCAGGAATTACTTACTGGGATTAAGCTTTTGAAGACGCTTTTCAATTGTACTCTTATTAAAAATGCCATGGACAATGGTTTTTGACATTGCCGGTTAGGCAAAAGTGCTCGTCTTGTCCGTATTCTCATCTTAGCATAGCTCATAGTATTATAGCAAGTTTTCCCTCATAGGAATGTGTACATTTTGAACGGGACTGAAGAAATATGCTCATCTTAAGTGCAATCTCGTCTCATGCATGCTCATGTTAATCATGTTCGACTTTACATGTATCACCAGCCATAATTCCTCAATAGAGGCCATCTTGAGGTAAAATAGGCTGGGCAGTAAGTGTACGTGTCACCTTTGTATGGGTCATTCCATGAGGTTGGGGTACAATTTGTCACAGTGTCAGTTGTTACATGGGTTCTATAAAAATGAACAGCTATGTCCCTGCATGTGGATTCCACATTGACATTGTTAAACATCCTGCAAGGCTGAATACAGAGGGGTGTGTTATTTTTACAGCATAAATAACCTACTCTACAGGTCATGACAGGTGGCACAAGTTGTGGACGTAAAAGGACACTGTCACAACTTGTGCCCCAACCGCATGGAATGACCCATGTAGAAATTTTGTGAACATGTTAATGTGGTCCCTAGAAATGACACGGAGTGAAGTGTTTTAAAATACTCTAGGCAACACAAGGATGCACCAATAATGCTGACCTTTATGATCCATTGCTAATCACAAAGCCTTAAACTAGTTTTCACTCCAACTTGGACTTACACAATTCCGAGCTGTCGGCAAACAACTTGAGCCGCATTGTTATCAAAGCGGTCATCGCAGACTGTCCCCCACTGACCACCAAAGAAGACCTCAACCCGGCCAGAGTTACTATCTGGTCCACCCACCAGACGCACAGGGAGATCCTCTTTTAAGAAAAATCAAAACACAGCTGCATTAAAGGGTAGCTGCAATCAATGTTTTTTAACAAAGACCTTCACAATGAACCTTCATGTCTCAGTTGACACTGTTTTCGACCTTTGTTTCTCTATTTGAAAGGGTTTTGTACTGCACTTTTGGGTTTTAGGCTACTGAGTATTTCCATATTCATGAGCAAAACTGTGATGTCATCCAAGGAAGAAGCCTAAATGTTATATTTGCTTGCGCACGAAAAAGTCTTGCACTTTTGTAGATTTTGCTTGACTAAATTTTCTCTTCTTTGCTGATTGTTTATGTGCATAGCAATAAGCCAACTTCAGTCTCTTTCTCAGAACATTTGTAGTGATTAAATTCTGGGCTCACAATTTGAACAGAAAAACGTGTGCACTGAACCATGTCTTCCCTGGATGACAGCACAGCAACAGCGCCCTCAGTTGTCTAGAAAGCATGCATAAGTAAAAGTGTTTTAAAAAGTACCCTTTTCAATGCATTTAACCAAATGGGTAAAGGAAGAGAGTTTTCATAAATGAGGACCAGTACAAAGTTGCAGAAAACTTATGTCTAAGAAAACTTCCTCGCAGTTACACTTCACCACAAGAACTTTGCCCACAGAAACCTCTGCGTTCTTTTCTTAAAGGGATTAATTAAATGGTATGATCACAACAATACAAACTGTCCAGTCTGTTTTAAGCTAAGACAGCTGAAGTGAATGTGGCCCCTACCACTTGGGCATTGTTGCTCATCACTGTTATCACCACAATCATCGGTACCATCACATTTCCAGTTGAGTGATATACAGTCTCCATTCCCACATTCAAATTGGGTATCCAGGCAACCTGATCAAGGAAAACATTACAAAAAGGAGAAAACTGACTTCAACATTTGTCAATATGCATTTAGGATTTACAAATAAGGAATGGCTATATCAAGCAAGATGTAGTCCTTCAAGCACTTTAGCAATTACATGTATATGTACACACAAATTGTAAACCAACCCAAACTGAGGTACATGTACATGTGTTATAAAGACCGAGCTATTTTGAAAGAATAAGCCATTCAATCAATCTTGCATCCAGAAATTAATCAGAAATGTCTGAGTTTTTGATCTGCATAATGTACATTTCCTTCAAGACATCAAATGGAAGGATCTAATAAAGAAAGAACACAAACTGGAGCCCTTGTAAAAATAAATACAAATTTCATGTAAGTGCAAAAAACGTAATTCCTATTTTTCTCAATTAAGGTTTTCTGTACTTTAATTAACCCTAAACCTCCCAAATCCTCCAAAATCCTTTCCTGCAAAGTGAAGGAATTTGGAGGATTCAGGGTGTATGGCAAAAGTGCATGGTTGATTTCGAAGGATGCCATATGTGAAGGTCGTGGATTAGACCTTATGTTGTTTGTGCTCAGTCAAGCACAAATTCAGCCCAATATTTCTTTGGAATCAACAACACAGCCATTCGCACTGCTTCTACATAACTACAGGAATTGCTGGAGGATCTTGAAGGATTCGGGCGGTTCGGTACACCTCAAAATGACATTTTAAAGATATTTTGGAGGATTTGGGCTGAATGTGATTTTTCCATATTGAAAATTGGAGGATTACGGAGGATTCAGGATGGTTCCTAGTAAAAAAGGCCTAGGGGGGTTAGGGTTAAGATTTACCCACAAATTATTTACAGGCAAATTTCATTGCAAAATACTGCATAATTATGATATAATTTATTAAAATTAAAACACACTACCGGGTACCTCTTTTACATGCCTACCTGCTCATGCTAAAACATTATCTCATCACCCTTAATGCAAACTACCACTGCGCATTGTACCTCAATGTTTGTCAAACTTCATATTTTTCAGAGATGTGACACTAAAGTACATGTATGTTAATTTTTACAATGTCTTAAATCTAAGTGGTCAGAATTAGAACTCACCCTACATGTACATGTAAACCATTTCATGTTATGATTAAAAAAATGCAACTAAGTGACAAGTATGAGAAACAAATGTAAATGTGGTGGAAAATACAAGAACACTGAACAAAATACATGACGCATTTGCTGCTGGTAAAGATGCTACTTGAAATTTCTACCAACAGGCTTGAATCAGAAGAGGGAAACTCCATTGAAATCTGAGACAATTCAGAGTTGACAATAATAATTTGTAACTTTTGCTAGATTCATACCCTTTGTGCATTAATTCATGGGGCATTGTGGTGTGCTAGGCAAAAGCATTGTTTCTAAACAAGTTAAAACATTCTGACTGGAATATGCATGGCCAGTCGTTTTAAGCTAAAATGTCATATATCATGTACATTGATGCTGTTCATTTCAAAATTCATTCCTTTAGAATTGATCAAAATAAATTATCTGTTTCAAGTTGCATTATCCTGTAATTTAAATCAAAACAAAAGTTGACTTTGCAGGTATGAATCCCTCTATGTATTTTTCTCAAAACTACTCAAAATCCAGATATGATGTTTTGCTCTAACACAACGAAATGTCTTTAAAAAGCACTTTGCGGAACATTACAGCGCTTTCGTACACTGTGCAGTAAGATAAATTTGCAAAAGGTTTGCTAACTCTGGAATGAACTTACCCCTTATACCCTTCTTTCAAGCTGTGCATGGATTCAAAAGAAATCTAAAAATGTTCTTAGTTCTGGTTTTATATAACATGTAAGCATCCATCCTACATACTGTAAGTGTACAAGTTACATTTAACCCCTTCGCGCCGGGACGCCGATAGAGCCGCCGTAAAAATTGAGATCCTCAGCCCGCTTTTCTGCTATTATTCTCGGCCCACGCTCGAGCGAAAACAGTGAAAGAAGGCAGACCCTGGCTCTTGTATATATGGTGATTGGCCTTTGTGTGTAGCCCAGAAATGAAACGACCGAATTTGCATCATAATCACCACCTTCACAATTGTCCCCACTTTGAAAAGAGGCAACGGGAATGTGGAAGCGCGAGTAGAGCCGCATGCCACCGAACAATCAGCCTTTTCACTGTGTAATTCAAAGCATGCAGAGTATGCAGGGCCACAAACCGAGAATTAACGGTTTGGCAGGTGGCCTTCGTGGCCAAGCGAGGCTGGAATTCTTGGAGTCGGCTTTCGGAAAGAAATTCCCGTCGTCAAGGGGTTAAATTATCTGGCTCTATCATCTTATCCATCAAAATTGTTTCCATTTATTTATAATTCTTGCTTGTCACAGTCTGAAGTCCACTTATTTATGTTTCACAAATGGTACCAGGCTTGGAATAAGCTTCTCCCTGGTGCCCAAATCTGTCACCATCTGTATTTAATTGTTTTCATTACAGTTGTATTTAGTAGTGGCATATGGAAAACATATCGCCAAATTCAAAATATTCATCACACTATTGCACATTTGAATTCTGCAGACTAATGTTCTGAAATATCTGAATTTTCATTAGCTTACCTTCATTGGGTACGCAGATGACACCAGCTGCTTCCCTAGCAACACAGTTATGAGTGCCCCAGCCTGAGAAGGGGCAGTCAGCAAGAGATGTTTCTGTTCCAACGCACTCCACATCATCCATGATGATGTTACCGTTGCCTACGCCAAACTCAGCCACAATCACTGCCCTGACGGCACCACTACAAATAACAGAACCCCAGAACACTCACTCAAATGACACTGGAAACTGGTTTTTTCCCCCCGGAGAAAATTTCCAGCTAATGAATAATTTATCTGTTATTGCTACATAGTCCAAATGCATTTAGGAGTCTTGTAAATTAAAAAAAAAACAGTAAAAAATTAGACTTAAGAAGTGTCTGAAAGAAAAAACCCTTGACAAATTACCATTACACAGTACAAACAAATGTGGAAAACGTAGGAGAGGAGATTTTTAAGGCAGAATTTGTATGCCTCCTTTGGCCTCTTTTCTGAACTGTGCTGCCACATGAACTGGTAGACACATGGTTTGACAAAACATGCTTCACCTTGACTTCGTATATCTTCACTTTTGTACTCAAGTACTTGTGCAACTAGTACTTCCATGGCCGACTGAAGTGCTTGGTAGGCCCTATAGGTCCCCCTATGTTCTGTAGGCCCTACGCACAGGCATGCACTAGCAGCAATTTCATAGCACTGCTAAGCACTGGAGCATAGCACTGCATCATTTAAAGGTTGAGCTATTACTGATAAACTATGCACTAACTAGTCTGAAGGTTTTCCAAAATCAACAAATTAAAAGAGAAGCACATTGTGGTACACGGGAACCTAGGCCCCTGCATATTGGGGAAGTCTCCAAATTTTTCATAGGCTCTGGGCACAATGCCTACTTTGCCTCTTTGATAATCCAACCCATGCAGAGTACTAATTCACAGGTATTTGAATTATATAATAAGCAACTACGAAGTATCCCCAGTCTCAGTTTAAGCTAAACACAATTGTTCACCCACTGTAAGTAATGAAAGTTCTCGCAACAGCATAACTAGCATGGAGTATTTTTGTAATTGCGACATTGTAAATGTTTCCGCTAATATGGCTTCTAGTTAACAACTTGGTCTTTTTGTTCTCAAGTAATTGTAAATGCTGTAACAGGTTTCCTCACCGTGTAAAGCCTAACTGTTTACAGACGACAGTTGCATCTTGGATATCCCAGTTGTCATCACAGACAGTCCCCCAGATGCCCATGTACTGTACCTCCACGCGCCCCTGGTAGTTACCTGTAGAGGTCTGGTCAGGCAGGTCATTCACGATGCGGATGGAAAAGTCTGGATTGACCTCTGATGACAAGAAGACAAAATATTCAAATAACAGAGAGGTTTCTGAATGCCTTTACTTTGTGCAAACTATTCATACACAGTTTGTGTTATTAGCCAGCAGTCATTCTAGTAGTCTGACAATAATTTGTCTATATTACATTTACACTACTTGATGTTAGGACCCAATCATAAAACCTGTGATCAACCAAACTGGCACATGGCATTTGATGTCAGTTTAACATTTCTGCAATCCACTCCATACTGCAGCAAGAGATCAGGTGATTTTAAAGAATGATGTCAATTGGGTGGGAAATCAACCCGTGCATATAGGTTTATGTGTTTAGTGCTGGACATGTTGATTAATATACGGTCTTCCTGGGTGCAACGTACAACGTGCTCAGTTGTTATTGTTACACCAGCCTGTCTTTTCTTTGCCAGTGAGGGGGTGCTCCTAGTCAAAGCAGATACTGTGTGGAATTTACGCTCTCTTCTAATGAGTGACATATGATCAGAGGTGTCCTACCTTCTGACGGTCCTGGTGTGCAATGTTGTTCGTCGGTAAAATCGCCACAGTCATTGTCACCGTCACACAGCCAGCGTGTTGGGATACAGCGACCACTAGGGCAGGGGTGATAGACTTCTCCATCTACATTGGTACAGTCAGCTGTGAATGGCAAATCAATTTGTATCGATTGGGTAAATATGGATTGCAAACTTGACTGCACTCGGGCTAAGTAATTTCTGGCACAGGGGCAAACGATTAATTATACTCTAGTATTCAAAAGACGGACACATTAAGAAATGTGTTCTTACATGTATACTATCAATGATTAATTTAAACAATGCTCATTCTTTGGAGAAATGTGCAGAAAATTCAGTGGTGTAACTGTATTCAAGTTAATGGATCTTCAAGTGAATTCCACTACAAATATCCAACCAAAACCTTAAGACCACTGATAATATCTTAGCTTGCACTCTAAATCTAGGGCATTCTTAACAATCATTGCTTACATATATACAATGCTGTCAATATGTTCACTTTTTGGATGATTAACCAGATCTTTTCAATCACACTGTACTACAGATTAATCTGGGTACTCAGTTTCCTGAACAGAGTGTGGGAATTAAGGCAAATGATTTATTACAGCATGTGACTAATTTCATGAATCACTTGGTTGCACAATTCAAAATAAGCAAAAAATAGTTCACTAACATCACTGCAATGGGTTTTATTATAAACTGTAATGCAGAACTAAATACAATTTGACCTACTTGTCTGAGATAGCCTCTCGTAGTGTGTGACACCGGCTTGGGTCTCCAACCCGCCTGTCTGGGCTCGGTTCTCATCGTAGAGTGTACAGTCTCGACTGGCCACCTGGTAGTCAAAGGAGCGGCAGACAAAGTCCATGTTGGTAATACAGAACTGAGCACACTCAGCCAGGGACTTGTCCATATAGCTGGCATCAGATGCAATACGAGAAGGGATGGCAGAGTCCACCAATGCATTAAAGTCTGCCAGGGGATCACCTAGTAGGGACAAAAACAAGAGACAATGTGCAGCGATGCCATTCAGACAAGGACCTCATTGTATGGATCATCTGCAAACCACAAAATTATGCACTTAGGATAGCAAGCAAAGTTGGGTATTACAACAGGACAGCCTTAAAATGATGCGCCACAGAGGTCCTCAATTTATGTACACATGAGCTCAGCCTTGTCAGCGTGGCGAACACTGTAAACATGTTACAGCTGGTGTAAAGTTTTTATTGTTGAATAACCTTGCCTTTCAGAAATACCAGATTGACACATTTTTTCCTTTAAAACTACTCTGTTGAACCTGAGTACATTTCAACGAGAACAAGTACAAGTCAAACAAAAAACGCACTTCAAGTACAAATTGGCATATGACAATAAACTGTGGTTGGATAAATTTCTTTGTAGCTTACACAACAAATTCAAGAATTTTGCATTCACCACGTAAGACCAAGAAAACAAACAGTTCTGCTTCCAATTACATGCCTCTCAAAAACAGTAGGTTTAGGTAGGGTCAGTAGGTTGGAAAAATTGGGGGGGTTTGATTTTTTTGTGCTAATTGAATGGCATACACGGGGACGAAAGCTGCCAAAAATTGCCACAGAAAGTGATAAAAACTTGCCTTAATCTATGTGAAAGTTTCTACCGTTGACCATTCTTAAGAATTGTGGACAGTTCACACCACTATGCACAGCCCTAGTCAGGTACGTAATCACGAAGCAAATTGCATGATGCATCCAGATGGGTGGGGGATAAACCTTGTGCTGCGGCCAATGGCAGCAGAAAATTTTGTGGAAACGTGCTCAAGTGTGAGCAAAATAACCTCAAATTGACCTCATAAATTTAGAAATTACATACAGACAAAAAAAACGACAAGAACAAGAAGTTCTGTGAACTCATTTGCAGAAATCTCCTTTCAACATCGATTTTTTTTTTGGACCTGCAGCTGTAATGTTGCGTGCATGCGGCCGTTCGACCAGGAGACCGGTTGCAATATTTCCATCATGCGTTCTTTTGCATGGGCGCGGCGTGGCACCAACCAGTGCAGCATTGCTGTAATGCATTCAGCTTTGCGCACGTTTTCACCACTGCCAAACGTGAAGGGAATTAACTCGTGAAAATAACGGAAATCTCATTTCAAAAGTTGCAAAGTAGAAAACGCAAGCATTTGAACATAAAAGGGTTGTTTAGAGGTGTTTTGTGAAGACAGAAAAGACAACACAATTTCTTATTTTTATTTTTTAAGTTTTTAAAATTTCCTTTCCAACTTCCTGATAAAAATTTTAGGGTTGTGCCAAAATATTAGGGTTGATCAGGAATCACGAAGCACAGATTTGCAGTTAAAGGGTGTACACATGTACATAAGCCGAGGTCTTCACTCAGCTGTGAAATGTACCATAACACTGTCTAATTTTGTTCCATCTACTAGGTCCCAACCCTGGCCTGTTGTTTGTATGAAGATAGACATGTAAGTCCCATGTTCATCTCCTGTTGCATGTCACTTTTCAACCCATTTGTCCATACGTGAGCTTTGCTTGGCCTAGTATGAGAAAGGCTAGGCTTAGCTGTGCTTAGAGAAACAAGAAAACTTACTGCAACCCTGTTCATCACTTCCATCTCCACAGTCCGGCTCCTGATCACAAACCCATGTACTAGGGACACAGTGAATTCTGTTTGGGAGAACAATGGCAAACAATGTGAAATTTCAATACTGACAAATACTGGAAAACTGAAGTTATGTAGACATTACTCTGAACATGTCCCTCTCACAGGAAATGAGAGCATGGCTTCACTATAATATTAGCACTTTGGTATTTGTAGAAAAGACCAATATGCTGCCTAGAAAGTAAGACAACATACCCTCCACTGACACAAGTGAACTGATCTGTATCACAAGATGCTGGGAGTGGTGGCTCTGTCAAGAGAACAAAACACGAACATTTGGCAAATTCCACCGGCATAAAAGCAGGGACAAAGGGGAACACAAACTAGGCTTTAATTCATTTGATGCAGAAGTTTAAATGGACAGAAAATGAAGATGTATCACTCTACAATTACATTTGGAAACATTTTAATGACATTTTAATTACAAATAACTTCTGCAAAGAACAGTAATTTTAAAAAGTCTTGAAATGAGATACTAAATCCCCTCTTACATCTTAGGCGATGGGCATACAAATTGTTAGAGAAAGTTTGGTGGAGTTCAAATAAAAATCTTCAGAACAAACATGTCAACTTCGTACCTGTGGCTACAACATCTTGACCATAAACTTTGACCTCACACAAGGTTAAGTAAGCCTTCTGGCTGCGAGTCTGTTCGATGTAAACAAATCGGCCAACAGTTTGGGCTGAACACTGGATAGTAATCTGTCTGTCCTCTCTTTTTGCTGCCTCTTTGATCATGGCACCACTCACGTGGCCACACTCCACGAATGAGGCAACATTCAGGATTGCATCGCCGACCTTCACAGAGGCACGCTTCAACCGGTTCCCTGCATCCAGGTACGAAACAGATAGAATGAGTTTTACAGGGAAATTGACTTGTAAAAGCCTTTTATTGAAATTGCTGAATAAAAGCAAATGAGGATTAATTGCACTACCAAGCATTTGTCATGAAAATGTCACATTTCAACTTCACATTTTGAAATGTTGTGCATACAGTTTCCAAGCATTCTAATTTGTTGACATTTGGAACAACATAAATGCACTCCTTATTTTCTCCCATAAGAAAATTCAAACTTAAATTTCACATTCCCCCCACAATGTCAAGGTTTATGTGTCCTTGTGAAGATGTGAACGATTTTCCACAGCTGCAATTTTGGCCACTCCATGGTATCCTCTCAGCATCTTAGCTGTGTCATTAACAGCCCCTCTTGTGACAGCTACTTTATTTACAGCACAGATTGTCAGCATTTGGACATTGGTCCAGGAACTTACCATAGTCATATCGATTAACAATGACGATATGGTCAATTTCATAATCTTGACCTAGGTCAACATACCACCAGGGATGTCTCTCCGAATCTGGGAAAGCAGAAAAATAAAAAGAATGCATTACCAATTTCTAAAATCAGTTTGACATCACATTGGCAGCTGGTGGAGAACACTTTTTTTGACGACCCTTGACTATGACAAGAACTAACTCAGTCAAATCATATGAACGCACATACTTGTTAACATCAAAGCCCTATTTGTGTTTGACCGAATAATGGGTCTAGTGCCTACCTTTTTCCAAACTCTCCATAACTGAACATTTTTCATAATTCTGATGACTTTTTGGAAGCAAACAGAACATTGTGGTCTTGCTGTCATATCCTAAATTGGTGTGCTCTATTAAAATCAGACCAGCTGGCCAAAAGTAGGTTGTCAGTGTTGTTAAAATATACATCTCTCTCCTCGGCGATGTTTTCATGTTGTTAAATGGAATGTCTTTAATGAGACTATGACTTTTCAAAATGTAATAACGTGGGATTGAAAACATTCTTTATGGTCATATTTCTATTTCAAATTCTTTCAACGTGTCTGGTTTTTGGCATATGTCGCAAACTGCCACAGCAACAGGTAACCAGCAGGCAGCCTACCTGTCAACGTGCAGCTGTTGTCGGCAAACTGCGGGGAATCGTTGCCATCCACAGCCAGACTGGATTCTTTGGGCACGCCTCTCCATGTCAGGGTGGAGCTCTGAACCGTTGGTTTACCCTGAGACAGGAGCCCTGGAATAAGATCAGAAAAGAAATGAAAAAATTACTATTATGAAATAACCAAAGGCTACATCCTTATGAATTCAATTCATTGATAATGGTCGCTAAGAAGTTTAACCTTTTTTGGCTTACCTATCTTTGGAAGATATACCTTTTGTGAGAATGTAACGTTTATTTTCCATAACATAATTAGAAAACATGGATGGAAAAAATTCTGAAGATTCAGCACAAAACGATGTATAAAAAAACACCGAGCAGTATCAGAGAAAATCAACAGGGGCCCAACTCTCTTCAGCTGAACTAATTCAAATTGTTATTGAACAAATGCAAATTGAATAATTAAATTGAATAGTTCTTATAGCTTGAGTAGTTCGTAAATTGAACAACAGGTCAAGTTCTACATGTGTTAAGTGAAGTAAGCCCTGTGCTTACGTTGTCCTCCTAGTGGCTGTGCTGTAGCCAGTGCTGGTGAATCTGTTGGGACTTCCTGGCTCTCCAGGCAAGCACTCAGCTCACAATATGTCCAACCTTCCAACTGGCCACTATTATCAGCAAAGTAACACCACGGCCTCTGGTCGTTGTCAGGGTTACGGCAATGGTTGTGATTACCGACACCTGGTAGAAATATCAATATGGGGCTAGGATTAACAGAGGTACACTTGTTAAATGCTAAACAAAGGCAATCAAACAAGTTCATCAGGTGAGTGTTCATTTTAGTCATGTACTGTATGCAACAAAGATCTGCTACAAAGATTTCCACTTATTCTGCTCAAAACCTATAGGGCCCAATCTTAAGGTCTAAATCTAGTCATAAATATCTCCAGACAATTACCCTTTTCCTACTGGTAGACAGACCACCGTGTGAGTGGTTTTAAACTGCTGATACAACAAGTGATTGGTTTCTAAAAACCTGTCTGGTTTCATAAGACATTGTGACTCCTTTAACCATCACAATTCACCCTCATACATGTAAATGACAATCACTGATGTCATATGCATGTAGTCATGCATCAGTGGTCATTATATGGAGTTTTCATGAGCACTGCTATGTACATTCAGCACCACATCAAAGAGCATGCACTGCACTGGGCACACATTACTTTTCCTTATAATTAGCTTGATCATACTAGTGTACACGCAAGGCTCATACCACAGACATGGCTAGAGGGATGTTCCATTAAACAGAAGGTAGTATCAAAACAAAATTGTAAGAAAAAGGTAAGACTTGTTATTTAGATTTAACTTTTTGGAAGGTATGAAGCAAGACGTCAAGAAGTCATAGATCTCACCATCAGCTCGGTCCATTATCATCAGTGGGCACCTAATTGGTTTAAATGTACTAATGCACATGTAAGTATACTCCATTACACTCTTACTCCCTTTTTGAAAAAACAGGGAGGGTGGCTCAAAACTGACAAGGGTGAAAGTACTTTTTAAGAGACCAGCACTGAATTTAAAAAGAGCTGTATAAATTGAAAAAAATGTAAGTAAAGCAGACAAAATAGGGTAAACAATGAAAATACTGTTTCTCTTTCTCTGAATAGGTTGCATTGTTGTAAAACATCAGGGTATTGTAAAAGTTCCCTTTGGCAGAACCAACTGTAACCCTGTCCAAAAAGAGGTCTTGGGTTACAATTTCAAATTTTGTTTCTTTATGACTATGTTTTCCTTTTGCGTACTTAAATTGTTCCTTCCTGAGCTTTTGACTTTTCTACTGGTAAGCAGTGTTCCAGTGGTGAACCTTTGATCTATTGCGGATTCCTTTTTGTCAAATAGCCTGCTCTTCCTTCAGTTTATCTTTAATGTTCCTGCTTTCCTAGGAGATCACAGGATGCTCTCTGCATCCACTGCCTTTAATATCTGACTAGTACACCAGTGTGTACACTCCCAGTAAACTTTTCAGGAGATCAGCAGGATGTTGGGACACTTAATCCCTAGTTGTTGTTCACACCTTACCCAAGCTGTGAAAGCCATAAACTTCTGCTGAGTGCTCATCTGCCTAGATACTAAATGACCAATCAGTATTGGAGTCATGTGTGACATTCTTTAAGTTGTCCAATGAGAGCCTGAGCTGGTCATGTGGCGAGGGCATGTTCTGGGTGGCAGTTTGCCATCATGCTGACTACATGCCTGCCGAATTTTGTCTGCATTCTGCACTATTTTTCTTTGAACCGGTGGACCTAAAAATCCAAGTCTTCCCCTCATGTTCACGAGTGTTGCCTTTCTATCTTAGTTACTGGACGGCATGTTCTGAATAGTGTTGTAGGTCTCTAGACCTTTTTTTGCGGTCTCGGTCTCGCCCTGTCAAAGTCTCGGTCTTGGGAGGGCCGGTCTCGGTCTTGGATGCCATAGTCTCGGGTCTCCCCCTTGAGACCAGTCGAGACCATAACAAAATGCGCATATTGCTACCACGCATGTGCGCGGTTGCAAAAGGTCAAATTACCTCCGCTCAAGTCAAATCTTCAACCACTGATATAAATACAACACAGTAATGTTCAGATTGTGTGCAATAAACAATGAAATC